CAGGTCTGCAGCTCTACAGCCTTTGGCAGCTGCCTAGGACATGGACATGAAATTAAAGGTGATGAACGTGTCTCCAGCAGTTATCATCCATCATTGAGTGCTCGTGCCAAAGGTGCAGCATCCCAGAGTAGCATCCCAGGACATACCCATGGCTGCAGAAGGAGTCCGTGTCAGAGCTGGGGATGCTCTGGGTGTCTCAAACATGCAGGACAGGGCGATGACGGAGACAGGCACTGCTTACAGCCTGGGCAAGCACATTGGTTTGTCTCAGTCGAGCCAAAGCCCCAGAAACTCTGGGGAAACCATGTCCCTTGGTAGCCCGACCCATTTGTTTCAGTGGCATCAGAAAACGGGATGGAAATTAGACTAAATTCCTGGCCATCCCCCATCAAGCATCTCTACATCTCTGCATCCCCTGCTGGGTTTATCCCTTGCTCCGTGCAGAGCACAGGACATGCTGGCCGGGTGCAGAAGCACCGCAACCCTTTCCTAATCCCTCACAGCCCTATTAACGTGCCAGAGAGGGAGGAAACGCCTCCGTGGGATCTTAGTGTGCTTTTAATGCATTAACTCCATGCTTGCGCTTCCTCTCATCTTCCCTCACTCCCCCATCGCCTGCCCTGCTCGTCCTTCCAGAGTCAGGGCAGGGATTGCAGAGGGTGTATTTGCCCTGATGCTGGGGAACAGGGGCGCAGGACAAAGGTGACCCCATTGCAGGGGCACTTTTCCCGGGATGATGTCCAACAGCTACCCTGCAGAAGCGAAACGGCATTGAGGCACATCCCTACAGGGGCATCCCAGCGGGCCCCAGTTTCCCTTTGATGCTTCCAGGTGAGGAACAGCGGCCGGGCACCCCGCAGCCCCTCCACTCCACCATCCCACACCCAGCCAGACATTTTTAATCTCCTCACCATAAGTCACTTTTTGGTTACCACTGGACTGTAGCTACCAAAACAAAAGGTTTCGGGGGCTTTGCAGCCTGGCAGTGATGGTTCCTGTGAACAGCAATGCCTTTGCATCCCCCGCAGCTCCACATTCACACCAGCCTGATGCCTCCCCGTGCCACAGGAAAGGTTGGCTGCTCCCTCCCAGCCTTTCACACCCCCTCACACAAATATCGGGGCAAGAGGAGGTGGTTCCATCATGATGAAGAGGGGGGGCTCAGCGTAGCCGGGGTCTGGCTCTCACACCTGGCTGAGCCCCCCACTCCTCCTCCACCTGATGCTGACTTCCACCTTGAAAGTTTCAGATAGTTGGGGGGTTTTTGGAGGGGAATTAATTTTTATTTTTAAAAATGTAAAAATTCTCAGGCAGTCTCGAGTTATTTTAGCAGCAGCAAAACTCCAGCAGCCGCTACCTGCCAGGAAGGGCATCCCGGCATGGGTACCAGCACTCCTCAGCACACGCCGCCTCCCCAGCCTCCATCCTAAATCACAACACAACAAACAGGCTGTTCATTAGGTGCTGTTTAATTAAGCAATATGGATCCTGCCTCGATATTTACAATCCCACTTGCTCTGATTTATTAGAGAGAGTGTCTCGTTTTTAAAGACGGCGACTGTAAAGTTTAATACCGCTTGACTTACTGCGAGTTTCATTTACGGCCGCGGGCCGAGGCGCTGCAGCCCAGGCTGGGAGCCGGTGGGCTATTAAATCAGAGCTAACTGCGCGTGCAGGGAGATGACTAGCTTCGTTACAACCGGTTCAGCGGCTAATTCCCCCAATCTGGATTCTCACATTTAAGCCAATTGGTTGCCGCTTTTCCAGGGCCCTGGGGAAGACCGGGGAAGTTCGGAGGTTGGCGTGAAGGCACTTTGTTGCCATGAGAAGGGATGGGGGCTGTGATGAGGATGGTCGTAGAGCCCAGTCAGACACTGCTTGTCCCAGGAGGGAAGAAACATGTTTGCGAGAGGCCAGACTCTGAGCTGGGCACCCCCCATGCCATGCAGCGTGATGCTGAGTACAAGGGCAGCTCCAAGCTCAAGGGTCACCCCAAAACCCACCGCCTCCTCCCCAAAACCCTTGGGCACCTGGGGAACCCTGAGGCCAGGTGGTGGGATGGCTTGTGGGCTCTGGGATGGGGTGATAGGGGGGGAGGAGGATGGAGCCAGCACGCAGGAGGGACGCATCCAGCCTGGCTCTGAGCCTCACACTGGCCAGGTCCTTCTCCCTGCCCCATCCCCACGGGTAGGGATGGGGAGCGATGCACAGATAGGGCAGGGGGGGCACAGCCCTCCCCACAAATTGTCATCTTGTAGGTAGGAGGAGAGCATTTCTCTCCTCGCAAGACATTGCTAGCCCCCAGGAGCCTACTCACGGACTTGACAAGGATAGGGGCCTCATTAAGGAGTTACGAGAATGGCTCTTTAGTGACAAATAAAAACTATTTGCGTGAAAATGTGGTGACAGACGACACGGAGCATCCCCCCACATCAGCTGCGGGGCATCGCTGTCCAGGACTTACCCCTGCACAGTGCCAGGGCTTCCCCAGGGGCAGGGGCTGCAGGGGAGGAGAGCACAGAGCTGGCTGCAGCATCCCTCAGCTCAGCCCCGGGTCCGGGCTGCTGCTGCCCCATGCCATGGGGGGGGCACAGGGAAAGGGAAAGGTCGCAGCAGCACCATGAGCAGAGCTGGACCCCCTGGCAGCCCCCGGGGCTAGCAATGAACCAACCCCTTGCTGCATCCTGGTAGCCCCACATGGCAGCCCAAGTAGCTGCACAGAAGCCCCCGGCAGAGAGGAGGAAAAGGAGCAATTGTGTGCGTCTCCACCAGGCATCCCCGACCAGCAGCCTCCATGCAGTAAGTTTGCCAGGCCTCAGCCCCCTCCCAGTAGCTGGCTAAGCCTTGGGCTGGATTAATTCCTCCCTGCTTCCCGCTCCTCTCGGAGCCTGCAGCGCTCAGATACAGGCTCAGAGCTCCCCCCAGGGAGGAAGAAGAGGCAACGCAGAGACAGAGACTGCAAATGGCATATGGCTGCCAGCACACACCTTGCAGCCCCCAGGGTTATCCCCCCCAGACCAGCTGGGGGTCCCCACCAGACCAAGAGCCAAGAGCCACCCGGGCACAGGCAGAGGCACTTTGCTTCCAGATTTTATTGGCCAGTGGAGCTGTGCCCCTTCACAGGGCAGGCAGCGCTCCCAGTCCCACCAGTAAGACTGGACTGGGAGGAAGGTGAGCCCTTTAGTGCTGGTATGAGCACACTGTGGAGGTGGGAAGACACACCCTTGGGCACCGGGGGAACCCTGAGGCCAGGTGGTGGGATGGCTTGTGGGCTCTGGGATGGGGTGATAGGGGGGGAGGAGGATGGAGCCAGCATGCAGGAGGGACGCATCCAGCCTGGCTCTGAGCCTCACACTGGCCAGGTCCTTCTCCCTGCCCCATCCCCACGGGTAGGGATGGGGAGCGATGCACAGATAGGGCAGGGGGGGCACAGCCCTCCCCACAAATTGTCATCTTGTAGGTAGGAGGAGAGCATTTCTCTCCTCGCAAGACATTGCTAGCCCCCAGGAGCCTACTCACGGACTTGACAAGGATAGGGGCCTCATTAAGGAGTTACGAGAATGGCTCTTTAGTGACAAATAAAAACTATTTGCGTGAAAATGTGGTGACAGACGACACGGAGCATCCCCCCACATCAGCTGCGGGGCATCGCTGTCCAGGACTTACCCCTGCACAGTGCCAGGGCTTCCCCAGGGGCAGGGGCTGCAGGGGAGGAGAGCACAGAGCTGGCTGCAGCATCCCTCAGCTCAGCCCCGGGTCCGGGCTGCTGCTGCCCCATGCCATGGGGGGGGCACAGGGAAAGGGAAAGGTCGCAGCAGCACCATGAGCAGAGCTGGACCCCCTGGCAGCCCCCGGGGCTAGCAATGAACCAACCCCTTGCTGCATCCTGGTAGCCCCACATGGCAGCCCAAGTAGCTGCACAGAAGCCCCCGGCAGAGAGGAGGAAAAGGAGCAATTGTGTGCGTCTCCACCAGGCATCCCCGACCAGCAGCCTCCATGCAGTAAGTTTGCCAGGCCTCAGCCCCCTCCCAGTAGCTGGCTAAGCCTTGGGCTGGATTAATTCCTCCCTGCTTCCCGCTCCTCTCGGAGCCTGCAGCGCTCAGATACAGGCTCAGAGCTCCCCCCAGGGAGGAAGAAGAGGCAACGCAGAGACAGAGACTGCAAATGGCATATGGCTGCCAGCACACACCTTGCAGCCCCCAGGGTTATCCCCCCCAGACCAGCTGGGGGTCCCCACCAGACCAAGAGCCAAGAGCCACCCGGGCACAGGCAGAGGCACTTTGCTTCCAGATTTTATTGGCCAGTGGAGCTGTGCCCCTTCACAGGGCAGGCAGCGCTCCCAGTCCCACCAGTAAGACTGGACTGGGAGGAAGGTGAGCCCTTTAGTGCTGGTATGAGCACACTGTGGAGGTGGGAAGACACAGCCTGGGATGGAGAAGGAGACCAGGGGAACCACAACACCTGCATAAGGATACCACAGGATTAGGACTCAGGTACCTGAACAGGGAAAACCAGTCCCCAAGTCAAGACCAGCCACAACAAGCCTGAGAAGAAGCTGAGAGACCAGAAGGCTCACAAGCGACATGAGTTCCCAGGGCTCAGCTCTCACCACCCCCCAGCTAACTCCTCTCCCTGGCCTCACCCAGCAGAGTCAAGGTCCAGCTCCACTGCTCCCCATCATGACATCTCCTTGGCCCTTTGCTTGTAGTGCACCTCGGGGAGGTTCCTCAGGCGCTCAGCTGCCTGCGGGACACAGCACAAGGGGCAGAGAGCGGCCAGTCCTGGCAGCAGCCCAGCACAGGG